CCGCAACCGGTCCCTGCAAGACACAGTCCGACGACATATGCGAGGCTATCCAGTGTAATGCCGCAACATGCTGTTGCTCGCTTACGGGAATCTGCCGTCCATAGCCCACCATCATCCCGCTATCCTATGCAATCCGCTCAGCCTCCGCCGCCGCACAACGACCGTGTCCCACCGATACACCACCCCCAAGCGCCGCCTTCGACACAGAGGGTTGCTGTAGATGGACGCTCAGCTCAAGCTTATCTGCCTCCGGTTCATCGTCGTGAATCATCCTTATCGCGGACTTCTCATTACGATAGGCATCCATCTATTCCGGCACGGAAGTATGATCCTCAACAAGCGTATCCAGGCTACAGACCCAGTCTCGCAACGCAACCGATGCAAAATCATCGCGTCGAAGCTCTTCCACAATACAAGCATAGTGGGCCAGAAGGTTTGAATACACATTTTGCAGTGAGACCTCCGGAGCGCGCGCCGACTCAACCTCAACCGCTAGGCAATGAGCCAACGCGAGTACAGCCGCGAATTGATTTTCATGGAAAAAGTAGATCTGTCGACACTAGACCAAGTTACCATTATCCCTCACCTTCGACATCTAACGTAAGGTACGCACCTAGTGCGCCAGTGTCGGCCGTTCATCACAACCCTTCACTCCAACCGAGAACATCATATCGAGCTGCGACGGTCGCAAAGGCAAACTACAATTATTCGCCAGTGAATCAAGTTCAGAGTTCACCGTCCCGGTCCTCAATAAAGGCTGGTTATAGTAATCAACAAACGAGGATGACAGTTTCTGTGACTTCTATAGTAAATGAATTAAACCAGACTAAAAAAAGAGAATCCCCTCTCGATTTATCTGTAAAAACTGTTAAAAACTCAGCAGACTCTTCTACTACGCAAGACGATGCAATTGATTCGGCATCATATGAAAGTAAATCACTTCCACTGCAGCCGCGAAGTACTTCAAGTGGTCGCCAAGTGCCGCCTTTACCAGGCTATGTTGTATCTCATAAAGTTGATTTTGCACCCGACTTTAATCAATATAGAGATCGAAACACAAATCATAATTGCGCTACTCCTCCACAAGCAGTGCGCTATAATGGAACTTATGAAACTGCAAGAACTGCCGAGAGAATACCTTATCCTGTAGAATCTCGCCACCAACATTACTCAGATCGTAGTAAATATAATGGCCCCGTGCAGCCGAGAACAGATTATGTTCCTAGAATTGACCTGACGAGATCAGTTGCCGATGAAAGACCGGCGGAAAGAATTCGAGAAGATCCTCAAATTGTAATGGAAGAACGAAAACGTACAGCCGGACCTATTGTGAGTAACATTCCTGAAAAATTAGTAAGATATGAAACATGGACTTCGGATAGCCGGATAGAACGTCTGAGCCATTCGGCACGCGAACAGCATGAGCTAATGAGTCGACCCGTATATAGTTACAGTAGTCATAAAAGGTTGGAGGCTTATCAAAATGATCAAAAAAGAGTTACGGGATCAAATATGTATCGTGATCATCTACCTCACACAACGCAAAGACATAGTCGCACCTCGTTTCCAGAAAAAGTTAATCGCGAAATAAGTGACTATCAAGCTCATTACCACGATAGAGTTCCCTCTAGTAGCCGTCATGTCATACAGAAAATTCCGAGCCACAAGGAAGTGCATCCGCATCATTTAGATTTGCAAAACGGTCCAGCAAATAAGAGCGTTTTAAGTATATTAAGAAATAGTTTAGAGACCAAACAAACGGGATACGTCGAAACGACAAGACCTATTCGACAGATATCCGATATTATTGTTCTTGATGATGTAGATGATTCTGTTATAGAAATCACGGATTTAACTAAAGACGGTGAACAAGAACCGAACAACAAATATAATCCGAAAAGTCAAACCAACCAGAATAATCAAATATTTGATCATCATATTCAACTACCCAAGGCTGTAGACTCCTTTGCCAGGGATTCTGACTATCAAAAGTGTGATAACTCGGAACCAAAAAGTAAATCACCGGAAAATGATGTCGCCGCTAGAATACGGACGAAAGCAGAATTAAAAGTAATGCCTCCGTCTCAAGACCAAAAACACGATAAATCATCAGATTCTGATTCTGAAAAAGTAAAATTACTCCCCAAGTCACAAAAACAACACCTATTTAATCAGATAAGGGAAGATAATTTAAGATTGGAATCTGTGATAAAAAATGAAAAACCATCGGACGACTTTATTTCTGAAGTTAAAGCAGAACCAATGAATATTGATGAGATAGAAAAGGATGCAGTAGCTCCAATCAAGACGGAAAATATTTTAAGGGACTTAGAACCTGAAAATGTAGTACCTATAGAACAATCATCGCCAGAAGACTTAGACTGGGCTAGTGCTTGTGATAGTTTTATGGAGGAACTCAAAACAGGATGTATGAAGAAAAAATCAAATAGAAAACGAAATGATACTCTGGATCCTGAAACTGAAGCGAAGATGCCAAAAGTTATAAAACTTGGAACAGATGAAAATACCTCCGACAAAAATGAAACTATTTCCACGCCTGTAATTGAAATTAAGCAAGAACCTGTTGATGAGGCTGAGAAAACGGAAACTGAGACGGGTATTGTAACTGTGCCTGAAGGACTTAATACTGAAATGCCGAATGAAATTCGAAATAATGAAAATGTCGAAAATAAAGATAAAAAAGAACAGGAGAAACCTCCAAAATCAAAAGCGCAGGCAAAGAATAAAACCAAACCAGAAAAGAAAGATGCTTCATTAGCGAAAGATGATTCTTCTGCAACACCCGTCAAAAATGATGGCGCCATCAAGACTGTAATAAAAGAAGAAGTAGACTCAACAGATGAAGATGAACCATTGATAAAAAGTAAGATAATGAAAGAAAAATTCCAGAGAGAACTTAAGTATCAAATGCTAAAAGATTTATCAGAAAAATCTGTTTACGTGAAGTTGGAGTGTTGCGATGAGCAAGTCGAGATGAGAAAATCTACAGAAACAATACCCAAAGACAAAATGGAAAAACAAGCTAAAGGAAAGACTGCTAGGCTCTTATCCAAAACAAAAGGAAAAACATCGGTTTCTGAAAGTAAAAATGAGAAACGAAATGATAATTCTAGTTCCGATAGTGATGATGATGTCAGTGTTGCGAGTAGACTCCGTGTGCGTAAAATCAATAAAACTGATGATAACAAAAACGAAATAGGAAACAAAACACCTACAAAATCATCTCCATTAAAGAAGTTAGATACGAGCAGTGCTAGTAATAGTTCAACGCCAATTCGTAAACCTGGATTTGGAGATGGCTCTAATTTTCATCCGGGATGGGAAGACGAGCTGTACAGATACAAAAGGTCTCTCCGCATGCCTACGAGGCTTATAGCCATTCCTCGGGGACGATCTGGAGAGCCATTTGCTAAAGGCTCAGCCAATTTATTTACACGGGGTTCGACTTCACTTCCAGATTTAGACCCTGTCCCACTGTCACCTGCTCCATCATCCTCACAATCGGCGGCGACAGATGATCTATATGGGAGACGGCCTGATAAAATGAATCTAGATAGTGATTTAGATTCAAATTCTAGTTGTTCCGCAGCTAATCGCCTCCAATACGACTCGGAAGCGTCAACATCTACCGTTTTCTCTGCGAGTAAAGTGAAGAAGAAGTCGAGCTCTATTGTCGATGTTCTTATACAAAAATATGGAAAAAAAGAGGAATCGAAGAAAAAATCAAAAGACAAAGAAGAAAAAAACGCTAAGATCATTCAAAAAAATTCAAATGTGTCAGAATTACTACCGACTCCAAGTTTAGGTCTAGTAAAAAACGGTAGCAAAGGCATTGGTGCAAAGAAAGAAAAACTAATGGAAGATATATTTTATTTGGGAGCATTTAGAAAAGAAACAGTTTCTGCATTTCGAAATGCCTTTATTAAGAACACTGATGGGTTAATTGGTACTACTGAAGAATTTACGCCGATCGTATTACAAACTAGAACAAGAACCGAGAGTCGTGTTTTAAAACAACGAGCTACAATAAAAGAGGTGTTCGGAGACGAGAGGCCTGCCTCAGCACCGCCGACCTCCGGCAGGCAAGAAGAAGTAGTCGAACCGCAACAAGAGAAGATTGTCGAAGTTAAAAAAGAATCTGAACCTAAACCAAAATTTAAACCAAGAAAAATAGCAAAAGAAAAGATGAAACGGAGATCTAGCTCAATACGAGACGGCTTGAGAAGTACTAAGTCTCTGAAACGTAACGACGCTAAAGGACGTTTGTTACGGTTAAAAAAGAGAAACAACCTGATGAAAACATTTAATGCTAAACGCAAAGAATCCACTGCTAATAAAGTTAAGAAAGAGAAAAGTCCGACACCGGAGAACAAAGACACCGCAAAAGAAGAGAACAGTACTCCCGGTACTGCAGAGACGAATACGAAGAGAAGATTTAAGCGTTTATTTGGAAGAAGAAAATTTAGCTCTGGATTTGATTACATTCGGAAAAAGAAGAAAATGATAAGAAAAGATGACAATAATTGCAACAAAGTACGTCGAGCGGCCCCGAAGCCGAGTCCCGAGTCCGTCCACGATATACAGAAGGAGATTAAGAGTTGGTTTATCAATAAAAGTATTGGAGAAACACA